ATTGATATTACAATTCATCGTTCTTTTTCTTATTCTGTTAATAAATATATACAATTTGTAGTTTTTCTCTCTATTAAAGTAAATAACCAACCAAAATAGAAAATCGTTTATTTTCTAAGACTATGCTTTGTATGACGTGTTTGTCATTTCCCTTCGATGTCATTATAAGCGGATTCTACTGTACTTCGCAAACATGAACTAAAAATAAAAATACTAAAATGAAATTGAAACAATTTCTTGTTGATAGATTCCATTTAATAAGTATATTTTGTCAATTAAAACTGTGTTTTTTTAATAAAAAAGGCTTAGGGTGTCCTAAAACTCGCCGAACAGCCCGTCGATTTACATTTATCATATTTAAAATGTGCTAAAAGTGCAGGTACATGTGAGGTGTATGAATTGTCCCAATATTAACTAATTTGGTCGACTAAAAACAGAAGAGAAATCAATTTTACGTTTATTTTTACGACCTACTTCTTAGAGAATAACGATAACCAAGGAAGTTGATATTTCACAATTGTAAGGATCAGGGGCGCAACAACGTTACAATTTGACTGGGTGCTCACAAAAGAAAAAGTTCTCATCATAATATATAAATGACTAAAAAAAAAATCATTTCGGCTGTTCATTTACGAACTTGAACTGTTTGAACCGAGTTATTATCTAAATTGACTGGATACCCAACCCAAATCGAGTGGGTGCCCAACGCAATCGAGTGGGCACCCGTAGACCCCCTCTTGTTACGCCTCTGGTAAGGGTAAATTTGAAATTGGAAGGGTATGAGTGGAGCACATCGTATACATTCATGATTTTAATTTTTCTAAACAATTATATTAGGATATCTTACAAAAACAACAATCGATCTCGCAAGAACAAGGTCAAGATGACCAAAACCAGGACTATATATTACTCTTGCCTTGTTTCATCACTACTTTACGTAAATATTTCCTTTCGTTCATCTGTGGTTCTGTATGGGGACATACCCGCATACATATGCGTGTATTTTTATTGTAAGTCCGTCATTCTTACCTGCGTATTATACGTTCGTTAAAACTGTTGAAAGATTTACAAATGACAGTCTTAAAACTGTCCAACGACAAGCGCATTTCCAAGCTAAACGATACGTCAGTCTGTCTGTCTGTTACAGTTGTTTGCTTCGTTTTTCTCGTTGTACTCTTACGCGTTCATGCGGCCCTAAACTACAACTTTAATTGACAATTATTGCGTAGATGCTATCAGAACTATACACCGAACTATATAGTGACTATACTATATGCATACGTTTCTTTTTTCCACCATTAATACCCTCGTTTACATTAAGAAAAATGTAAGATAAAGAAGTTGAATTATTCAAGTGCCTAAAGGCTATTCTTAATTGTTTAGGTTGTGAATTGACCTTTTACGTCTTTCTAATTAACGTAAGAGGAACAATAATATTTTTATGTATCGCAATTGTTATTTTACATGTTTAATCTATCGAGACTGCCTATGACGTGCTGATGAGAACATGTAAAAATGGCGATTCGATATATTGATGACCAAGACTTAAATTGTATGAGTAAAACCAACATTCATTCCCAATAAATTTCTAAATAAGTACAAATATTTCTGTATCTGTGAACCGAGTACTCTAAAATAAAATAGTCATGCCTGCATAAATTTTGTGTTAATTTCGACTTTTTATTCACTTGACATTTGCTCTTCCACGTTATGGCTTCTTGATAAGTTAAATCTAATTGAAATGTCGGCGTTAAGCGCTAAAATCCGCTCATGTTTAGTCAGCACCGAGATTGACGGCAAACCCTAAATCCGACGAAGAATTTCATTTTTATATAAAACGTTTATAGCTATAGACTGTCGCCCTAACTACACATCCAAAACTAAACCTGTCCTTAAGCCCTCCTTGTCCCCTCGCTTCCCCTACGAAATTGTATAGCTTGTAGCTTATATAGCCTTATAGCCTGAATCCCTAAACGTTTAAATATTAAATTGTTTTAAAGTCGATAAAAATTTATGATCATAAATAAAACACATTTTTTCGTTATTCTGCGGTGATAACAAATTTTATTAAATTGCATTTTCAAACCGATAGCATAAGCACTGTTTTCTATGCTGTTGATTACAGAAGAAATAGTCAAAAATTTCTTAGATTTTCTACCACTTTCTATTCGATTTCGATGAGTGCAATG